TTTTTTGAAGGATTATTACGATAATTATCAATTGCAAACCATCTACTTTAAACATCACGAGTCGCCACTGTGTACAACCACCAAATATTTTACCCTTGAGGAGGTGCTACTGAAAATCTATACATTCATTACAACACTCAGAATCTAAAAARAACTTTTTATATATTAAATTCAATCTATATAAACTGTTGGAAAGTCTCTATGTATAAAAAATTAATAATGTTCTTTCAAATATTACTTATTGGTATTATAACTTATCTTAAAAATCATTTCTTAGGATCACAAAACAAAATGATGTCCACTGGAAAGATTTTGAAGATTTTGATAATAGTAAACCAAATTCAAAGACTGAACATGTGTAAGTGTCATCATAGTAAAGATTTAGAACAATAGAATGCATATTATGTAATATGTAATATTATATCTAATTTTTTTTTTTGCGATTCAAATAATTGATAATTTTTATTATTTATACATTTGTTGCAACTTAAAATTTTTTAAATTATTTCATTTTTTAAAAGTAGCTATTTTCTAAAATCTGAAATTAATTTTTCAAGTTCTTCTAAGTTCAGTATTAATAGAAAATTATTATTAAGGACCCCATCAAATAATAGTGAATGTCGAGATAATCATGACGGCACTGAGAACAGAAAACCATTCTCAAAGACTGAAAATATGTAAGTTTCATTAAAGCAAACATTTAGTAAAATAGGATCTAATTATTAAAGCAAAATTAGTTTTCCTATTAAGTATTACATAATTTAGATTCTTTATAAAAAAAATGACATTTAATTTAATTTGAATAAAAGAATGTTGACTCTATGTACAATGTATATATTAGGTATACTGGATCACCAGCCAAATTCTGTAGATCAATGAATGGAATAATCATTATTTTTTCAAAACTAGTTTTATTCAACTTACAAAATTAGTATACTAAAAAGTTTTTTTTTTGCAAATTATCATTTATATTACTAGTATCATTCAAAACTTGGTATAGAAAACAAATATTTGAATCTAATTTTATAATTTTTATAGCAGGTATTTTATGATAAATACAATTGCTTTATTTGTAACTTCAATATTTATAAGTTCATTATTTTATTAACTAGAACATACAGCTATATAGCAACAAGGTTTGTTCAACATAATAAAACATTTTAAAATAATAACAGAACTTTTTGTTTTCTCTTTCTGACCCATATATAACATCAAATTTGAGTTTAGTAGAACCAACCTTATGTTTAGCTTTAGTATTTGAATGGTGAATTTAATAGATCAATAATCAAAGTTACATTTTAGAATATTATCTTGCGTTCTTACATAGATGATTTTTTATGATATTTATATTTTAAAGCGAGATATGATCATTTTAAAATAATTGTAATATTTTAAATACAAATAGTTTGTGTATAAATTGAAATGCTGTATAAAAAAAGCCATAAGAACACATATAATACACTTAATTTTAAGTTCGATGATTGGTCAATTCATTGAAATACTAAAGCTATCAACATCAAGTTGGTTCTATTAAACTCAAATTTAATATTATATGGCTTTTAGGTCAAAAAGAGAAAATCAACAGTGCTGACAACCCTTAACCTTATTGCTTATGATGGTTTTTTCTATCTATATTTAGTTGATAAAGTAGATTTTACGTAATTCTTAGCAAACCGATTTTTAAAACATAAAATATCAAATATGATGTTGATGATGGATTCAAATACTGGTTATAAAAACTGATAATATCTAAATATCATCATGATTTATTTTTAGAACAGAATCTCAAAACTAAATATTTTTCTTTTTGAGATTTTTTATCATGTGTACATTTACAGTGTCTTAAAATCTTTAAAAAATCTGTTTTTATTTTATTATTTTTTAATATATAAGACTTCTTATTAAAACCATTTTTAGGACCACAAAAGAACCAGCCAGTGAAGGCTGGAAAGATAACGATAATCATGAATTCAAAAAACCTATTACAAAAATTGAAAATAATATGTAAGTAGCATTATATTTAACTGTCAGAAAAATARATTGCAAAACTAATTTGATTGCATTTCCCTTTGAGTTTTATATAATTATTGTTACAATTACATTAATTATAAATTGGAATTTTTAAAATTATTTTTTTGCATACCATTTATTGCACTGTTAATCATTAACCAGATTTTTAAAAACTCATAAACAATTTTCTAATTCTATATTTTTTTAGGTTAAATATATATGAAGTGGAAGATGACATATTTGATTTACCTTCTAAATTTTCTTTAGCACATTGTATTTGTGAAGATTTTCATAACTCTATGGGCATGACAGCTGATTTTAAGTATGATAATCATAATTACATTATTTAATTCTGTCTGTGAAAAATTAATTAAAATTTTAGGTTCAAATTTGGTAAAATTGGTGCATTAATGGATCAACATTTACGTGTGAGTGATGTCGGTCATATTATACATAATGAGCAACATGTATTTTATTTAGTCATAAAAAAAAAAGTGGTACAAAAACCATTATTATCTAGTTTAGAAATAGCTTTGTATAATTTACGTAGTAAAATGAATGGCCTTAAATTAACAAAATTGGCAATTCCAAAGTATGGATTAGACACATTTGATATGACGGAAGTGAAGAAACTGATTTCAAAAATATTTAAATTATCCAATATTGAAGTAACTTTATGCCTGGCATCACCAGTAAGTTGTTACTTTTATTATATTATTATTATTATTATTATTTTTTTTTTGTAATAATTAAATTTTTTTTTAATCTAGAAGTTAGATATACAACAATTCAATCCACCAAAAGTAAATTTTACTTATAAACAACTGTGGGAGATGGAGAAACAAACTGATTTAATACTATTTATAGATATAAACACGGTGTACTCAGAGAATTGGAATGACATAGTTTTTGAACATATTAATGCTAAATTCCCATTTAAAGAAAAGTAATTTATATTTTGTATTATTTTATAAAAGTAATGTTTGTTCAATATAGTTTGTTGATAAAATAAGCGGTTTAAATTAAAAAATTAATTTAATTTAAATTAACCTTAAAAATTAATAATACCTATTTGAACATTTATAGATTGTTAGAAGATATTAATGTTAAACCAATGACTCATGGTGATTTACTGATCTACAAAGTTGACAGTGAAGTATTGTTTTGTTTGTTCCTCAAACCTTATGATCAAAATCCTATGTACTTTAGAAGTCTCGAAAAAGCTTTTCAAGAGATGAAATCACAATTAACTGGCTATAGATATCTTGGAATTCAACAAGAGCCAATAAGTTATAAACCTTCCCAACACATTTTACCACGTATTTTATGTGTGCTAAAATCAGTGTTTAGTGTTCAAAATGCTGAAATTTGGGTTTGTGGTGATACTGAGCAACATAAAACATATAATTATCAACAATATAAAAAAGTTGTTAATGATGTCATTGATCTGAATCAAAAACGAAATTCAAAACCAAGCAATAAGTCTAGACATAGATTAGAAAAAAAAAAACATAGTGCRAATAGCAATAACAGTAAACATGATTTATCAGAAAAATATTGCAGTAAAAACACATCAGATGTCAACGTTGTTACATATCTAAACCGAGAACCAATACCTGTTGATAATTACATAACAGGTAACTAAATATTAATTTTTATCATACATTTAAACATAAGCAGCTTACAATATAATTTCTTCATTTTTTCTAAGTTTATGGTTCTTTGTTTGTAGATGTTTTAGTTGGATTTGTACTTGAAAGTTAGTTAGGATTACATAATTGAGTCAACCTAATATTATGGCCAATATTTTCTTTTCACTCACCTCTAAAAATGATCAAATAATAAGTATCAATATATGTAATACAATTTTACATTCTGTATAGATCAATGGTTATTTCAATATTTTTGTTTAAAATTGAGATTTTTAAGAAGCATACCCAGTCTCTTTGATGTATTATGGTATCACAAATATAAATTGTATTAAAATTATAAAACAAATTAAATAACTATGTAAAAATTACATAGTTAATTATATGAAGATCCGCACACATTTTTGCTGTTTTGATAAAATTGTGTAAATTTTGAAAGATTATAAGTAGGTACCTTGTACTTACCACAAATATTATTATTTAGGGTACTTACACTAAGTAACAATGAGAAATACCTAAATAAGAACACGACATCATGCAACTTCAAAATATGGAATAGATTCATTATGTCTTGCATAAATACAACGAGTACCTACAAATATTTTAACTATTTAGCTATTTTAACCTTGTTGTGTTCAAAAACCAAACTGTGTCTGGTGTGATAAATTTTAAGCTAAAATTTTTATGTTTACTTTGAATATGTCACTAAAAATAATTATGTATTAACAACCAATATCATAGTAAAAGTTAAAATAAGGTTTTAAGAATTAAAACAAATATAGGTGCATTACTCCAGCACCCATACTTTTGAAATCAGAAATTGCTTCAAGCAGTAAACATGTACTTTATTTTGTACAATTCAGTACAACCAAAATTCAATTTTATACAACCTCAAGCCCCAAATCCAATTTCTTCTTACAGGTGCTGTGGTGACGATAGCCCTGCACTTTAATCAGTTTTTTTTTTACAAATTTCAACTTTAAACCAGGTTCCTAGTATTATGCACTTTATTTTGTACAATTTTGTACTACTCTCAAACTGGTAGTGGTTTTTGGGGTTTATAGAAGATGAAGTACAAAATTAAAATATTTYCCCCTTCTCTATGATCATAATTTACCAGCTGTAACTGTTATTGATTTTTAATGTAACTCAAGCCTTATATTATAAACAAAATTATTTTCTGTTTTAGATTCTGAGCGAAGTAATGAATGTATTGATTTTACAATGACTGTGCTTTTGTTTTATTTTTTATTTTTGTATCTGTCACGGTTTAGAGCAGTAAAAGTGCTTCGATTTTCTTCAACAGTAACTTTTTTGGTAGGAAAGTAAATCTAGTTTATGCATTTGGGAGGTCAAAATTTACATTCCCAATAGTTTTCAAAAGCAACTAGAAAAAAAAAACCAATAAATTAAGGAAAAATTTGAATTTTTATACAAAATTAGTTTTCAAAAAAATTAATTTTTTTTAGTGTAATTCTAAAAAAATACTACTGATATTTACATTTTTCACTGAATTTTTTTGTTAACATTTTCTATACACCATAAAATAATGTACATACATACCTGCCTAATATAACTGCCATTATTTTAAAACTTGATATCTGAGTAGGTACCTAATATTTCCTGTTGATTATTTTTGAATTATAAATTAATCAATTACAGATATTCCTATCTACCTGTTAAAAATGATAGGTATGCATGGACGATCTAATGGATTGGCCCATAGGGAAATCGGAAATCTACTAGTAGGCCTCCATCAAAATTAAACTCGAAAGCCCCAATACCGAAAAATTAAAAACAATTTTAACAAATAAAAAGAATTTTTTTATAGTGTATTACAATACCATCTGACAGATGTCCATTATTTATGCGTATATTTTGTAATATTTGTACACTCATTAAGGGCTTCTGTATAATATGAATTGATACATCCCAGTTCTGTAGTATATATTATTATACTAAAATTAAATAATGTATTAAATATAAATTAGTGATGGGTCGAACTGTTCGGATCTCGAACCGAACCCTTGATGTTCAGTTCRGTTCGAAATTCGAACTCTGCATGAAAAAAAATCGAACCGAACTATCAAGCATATTTTACTGTTCGAAAATCGAACTTAAAAATATTTGTCGAACCAAATATACTGGCCACGATACTTCGAAAACGAATAACGATATATTTGTACAATTCTTCAAAAGTTTTTTTAAAAAATAAAAATTGATAATGATTATTTAGAAATAATTGGACTATTGGCGATAGAAAGTGATAATCTGTAGCGGGCACGTATTATTTTAATAATATAAGTAATATTATTTTTCCAGTCGCCCGTTACACATCCACCCTCCGCCGACCAAAACATTAATAAGTTGCTTATTGCTAATAGAGGCAGTGTATCTACATTCATAATATAGCTATTTTTGTTTTTAACATATTCATTGTAGAGGTTAAAATCTATTTTGGGTAAATCCCTGATAATATTTTGATACCGCGACTGCTGATATTAAAAACATGTTTACAACTTTACTTACGTCTTACATTATACATTTTACTAATCATTTGTGAATAATTATAGTTATTATTACTAWTTTTTTTTTGTATATTATTAAAATGCACTGATTGTATTGTCATATTATACTCAATTTAATTTGTAGGTAGGTACAATGTACATGATAAAAAGTATTGAGTTCGACTTAAAATCATAATCGGTTCGGTTCGGTAGAAAATATGAAGGTTCGGTTCAGTTYGAGTTCGAAAAAATAATTTAAAGTTCGTTTCGATTTAAAAAATCGGGGTTCGACCCATCACTAATATAAATGTAAATAAATTTGTTCAAATGACAAAATTAAACAACCATAGTAATAATTCATAGGTTTATATAAGTGCATATTTATATGATAGGACTACAGGAATAAAACGTCAATAACAATTGATTTTATTAAGTATTTTTTTTATACATATGTTTAACATATTATATAAGGCCTAGTAGTTGTGTATTTACGGGGGATGATCTGAGTGATTATCAACTCCCAAAACTTTATTTATTGAGTATAGATTATTAAGTAATAAATATATAATATTATAAAATATATTTGTATAGTATAAAGTAAAATCATGGCCTATAAAAATGTATTTTACGAATAGGTATGAAGAGAAGGAACCAGGTCCCTTTGGCTCCTAATGGTAAAAATAGTTTTAGTCATATTATCACCCTCTAGAAACAAATCCTAAATATGCCACTGARGCCTTGTTATATGTGGCCCTAATAAATGTGTTTTGGAGCGTTTAAGAAAATTTTACTAATTAAGGGAGGGAAGGTTTGAAGGTAGTACAAAATGTAATTTTGGTTGTACAAGATTGTACAAAATAAAGTGTATAATACTACTTGGTACTACAATTTTTTTGATTAACCTAAGTACAAAWTATACTCTGTCCAGTTAGAGACTTGCTGTAACTTGACAATAATATTGATCCTTTTACGCATGTCATCCTTTTGTRGCATCCAGCCACACTGCTACCATTTTGACAGTTCACTCGGTGCCGTAGAAACCGCGGTGCGGGCGGTTCATTACACCAGGGCCCCGCGTTGCAATTTCTAATATGAGGCCCATACTTAAATAAAATAATATAAGAATTAAGAATCTATACTAATAACAATGTTTTTCATAAGATCATAATATAATGATAAAGCTGTTAGCACTTTTTTATTTTAAGTATAATATAGCACCGCCAGGCTTCAAATTAGCACTCCCTATTCCCATATAATAACATATGTAATAATAAAATTATTTTTGAATTTTTGAATACATAATATATTATGTACAGTATAGTTGCTTAATAGCTTAAATAAATAAAGAGTAGCGATTACATTAACATTTATACAATATCAAATTTTTTATTAGTTATTAATTTGTCTATACAAAGTATTGAAGAAAAATTGATTAAAATTTTAATTAATTATATTTGTATCATAATTAAAAAGTAAGAATATAAATAAGTAAAAATTTAAAATAATTGCAATGCAGTTTATTATATTATTATTGGGGTTGTGGACTGCGGGGGGCTAAGCCTCCCACAAATCTGTGTACCATCAATTATATCAGCACCCACTATATACACCCAATGTGCGCCATTAAAGGGGCCACAAATTACATTTGCACTGGGGCCCATCTATTTCTAGCTACAGAACTGAGTTCACTATGGTAGGATGTTGTATATGGATGCACAGAATCTGTGCATTCTCACTTTAAACCTTTAAACAAAGTACACATAGAATTTGCTACCAGAAACTTCCTTCAAAGGTGGGATCTCCATCATCGCTACATTTATTTTTTTCAGTAAAAGTATYTTATGGAAGGAAAAAAATGAAGTAAAAAATACTTTCATTGCTCCGCTCAGAATCTAAAATATTACTAGCTAAAAACCATTTTTGGTAAATATAATACCGATTTCTAAAAGCTTGAAACCAATTTGCAAGTAATTTATAAAATAATGGCACATTTCTTTAATTGACAAGACAAAGAGGGGAAATTATCTTTGACCATATCTACATTGTAAATATATTATAACATTTTAAATTAACAAATTTAAAGTAACTCGGATATTCTATTTCCCTACCTATCAGAAATATAGAGATAATAGCATATTATTTGATGTACCTACTTACTATTTGGTGCATTATTAAATGATCAATATCCATCCCCAATATTTAAGAAAGAAAAATATACTTAAAAAATAGTATTTATTAATTATTTAATTGCTAGATAACTTATAACTATTTTTTTTTATGTTTCAGAAAATTGGGATAACTGATCATTTTATTTATTTAGTTTTTTATTATCATTTTATTCACAATTAATATTTTGTTGTATTAATTTATTTTTACTGATATTACTCTTATGAGTATTGAATTAATTGAAAGTATATTTTGTTAATTCACACTGATTGTTAGGAAAATCTTTTAAAACGATTTAACGATTTAACAATTTATGGGTTTTAGTGATTTCCCTAAAGTTATAAAGTTATAAATAATCATTAATTCCTTATGTTGAAAAAAAWATATATATTTTTTTTTATTAATATCAAAATTGTTGTTATTTATAAGTATTTCTACGGTTTAGCTGATTTAGGTTTATATTTTTTTTCAAGTTGTTTTTAAATATTAGTTAAAATATTGTTTTTTTTTTCAGTTCATTATTTCTAATGTAACCCTTAGTTTATGAATATCAGTATTTTTTAAAAATTTAAATATTATTATTATGTAATTACACAAAATCATTAATATTTTAATWAAATATTACTGTTATAATTTTTTATGTTCCTACCTACTATATTTGTATTATTTTGTTAAATGTATTCTAATTATGATGGTACCTAGTTAGTAGTTATATTCAATATGTCTAAATTGTTGATGAATAATATTTATGCAATAAGGAACTTCTTTAGAATGTAACTATGTAAATAAGATAAAATGAAACCAGAACTTTTTTATTTAAGTAGGTCCTGGACAAAATTATTATTAAATCAATCCCACTTTATTTAGCTCCATGATTACTAATGATGAATCATAGTAATATTTAGATATTGTTTGACCACCAGCTTTAACTTAATTTCTTGGTTTGGTTTTTATTAGTTGATTATTTAAGATTATACCAAAGCTARCATAACCTAACTTAACCTCATTCTAAGTTGAGACAGTCCATCARCCTATTAAACCATGTATTATTTAAGTACATAATCTATTAATTTATTGTACCTATGGTTCCAGCCATGACTGTATTGAGTATATGCACATGATAAGATTTTTTTCAAACAGTGTATGGGCTTCATCAAAGATAAAGTAAGTATTTAGATAGGCTGGATGGGTGCCATAATATAATAATATGTTTAATAAGCCAGTTAATAGGTAGGTTGGTACGAGGTATCAAATTATAAAGAACTTCATAGCTGTGGTAGTTACTTATGAAAATCAATAAATATATATTGATATATTTTAGTGGTAAATTTTTTAATAAGAAATTACATATATAATCTACATATTATCTTGTTTCAGTATAAAATTGTGATTATAATAAATATAGCAGTACACTTATTGTAGGTATTTTGGTAATATTTTTGACTATAATCTAGGTTGCTAACTCGAAATAGTAGTTGACATCAATGCTGAATACATATATATATATATAATTATCAACACACAAGTTATATGTTATTATTTATTATTCATAGTAATTAATATATTTTAGATTCTAAACAGCAATGAATGTATTGATTTTATTAAACAAAAAATTTAAATTAAAAATTAAAAATATACATAAATTTATTTATTTCAAGATAGCATGTAGTTCATACTGCAACATATACATTTAAAAAATAATCACCCTGTACAAAGTATATACATTATACTATACTTATACATATCTAGGGTGTAAGACATAAATTAATTGATTTCAAGATAATATTCTCAAAATATTATGTTATTTTTATTCAATGTACATTATAATATTTAAAATTTTATTTTTATATATGAATACGTACAATAAAGTATGATCAATTTTACTGTGTTAAAAATTTTAAATTAATTAATATATAACTTGTATTTATAATTATATATATATATATATATATATATGTATACAAATACAATATGACCAATGTTTAAAAATTTTGAATAATACTTTAAATTTTATTTTTTTATATTTTTAATTATAATAATTTTTTATATATTTGACCAATGTGTAAAAAAATTTTTAATAATACCTAATTTAATAATTTAATTTTAAT